AAAGGATCCTGCTTTGTTTCTTGCTGCTTTTTGTGCAGTTTTCAAATGAGCATTTTTCGCTAGCGTGGATGAGGAGCGAAAAGTGATCTGCGAAAAAGGAATTAAAGTTTGGTAAGTTGTTCGCTACGTAATTTGAAAGGATCCTGCTTTGTTTCTTGCTGCTTTTTGTGCAGTTTTCAAATGAGCATTTTTCGCTAGCGTGGATGAGGAGCGAAAAGTGATCTGCGAAAAAGGAATTAAAGTTTGGTAAGTTGTTCGCTACGTAATTTGAAAGGATCCTGCTTTGTTTCTTGCTGCTTTTTGTGCAGTTTTCAAATGAGCATTTTTCGCTAGCGTGGATGAGGAGCGAAAAGTGATCTGCGAAAAAGGAATCACAGTTTTATCGTTGAACGAAAGAGTTATCGGCAGGGCCTCTGACGAAGGGGGGGGGGGCCGGGGGGGGCCTTGGCCTCCCCACTTTTTTGCAAAACAATAGAGTTTTTTTCAAAATCTTTTGTTATGGGTGTTAAATTTTCCGTTGGCCCCCCACTTTTCAACCTTTGTCGGAGCCCATGATCGGTACGGAAGAATTTTATTAAGTTGAGTTGTTTGATTGAACATGCTGACTTATTCCTTTCAGAAGTTAATTTGAATTTTGTTTTTTCTTTTCTGTAGTGTTCTGTGTTTAAAAGCTTGACTTGTTGTACAGTTTTATTTCTTCAGAGATTTATCAACACATCAATAAACCAGCAAAAACTAAGAAATTGGCCAATTTAGAAATTTTTTCAATGCTCTTTACACTCTTTGCCCTTCAGAATATGCCACGTCGAGTTGGTATTAATCGCCAAATACAGAGAGAGCAGCAAAGACAATATTATCAAAACCGCCGTGATGCACCTCCAAATCCAGCTGCTGATGAAGTTCCAGATGAACAGCAACCTGCAGCTGCTGTAAATGAATTAGCTGCACTGCAGCTTCAAATTGCACAAAATGAGGTGCCACCACAACAGGGTAATGAGCAAGCTGAAATTGTGCAGCAGCCACAACATGATCAACAGCAACTGGCTGTGCAACAGAATCCAGATTTGCAAATTGTGCAGCAGCCACAACATGACCAACAGCAACCAGTTGTACACCAGAATCCAGATTTGCAGCCACAGCTCTTGTTCAACCTGCCACAACCACATTACCTTGGTATGATGGAAAATTCATGTCATCATTGTCGTGGCAAATTTTTCATTGGTGAGCAGAATTCACATAATGTATTCACCAAGTGTTGCTTTCAAGGTAAAGTCACTCTGCCACCAATTGCACTACCTTCAGCAAACATTGTTGACTTGTTCAGTGCAGAAACACCACAGTCACGGCATTTTTTAGAAAACATTCGTCAATACAATGCAGCTATGGCAATGGCTTCCTGGAATGCCACTGTCAACCAACTTCCTGGTAGAGGACCCCGTGTTGTCACCATTCATGGGCAAACCTACCACTTGACAAGTGCAACAGATGCAGCTGATGGTGAACGTCCACAGTATTCACAATTATACATACTGGATACAAATCAAGCATTGCAGGAAAGAATTAATGATCCAAGAAATGCAAACCTGCAACCTGAGGTCTTGCAGCTGCTACAGGATGAGCTCATGGCTGTTAATCCATTTGCAAGGCAGTTTCAAAATATGGGACGAGTTCTTGAAAGAGAACGCAACAATGCAACTGCAAACAATCAACCATTACCCCCAGTGAGGATGATCATAGCACAGCGACCGTTTCAAGATCGACGTTATGATAATCCTACAGCAACAGAAATAGCTGCAGTTTATGTTGGAGATGATGGAGCAGCCCCTGACCCAGCTAACAGGGATATAGTAGTATACAATGCTGCCAACTACAATACAACAAAAATCAAAGCAACATCTCCAAATGCAGATCCCCTGACATATCCTCTTTTGTTCTTTCATGGAGAATTAGGGTGGAATGTTGATCTTCGACGTAATCAGCAGCAACCAGCAGCTCCTGGTCGTAATCCAAGGGTACGAATCACTCTCAATGAATTCTATGCTTACAGGATTGCTGTTCGAGATAGTTTTTCAGCCATTCACCACTCCAAGTTGCTTTTTCAGCAATATCTGGTTGATGCATACACAAAAATTGAAGGAAATGAACTGAACTACATCAGAACCCATCAAAGACAAATGAGGGTAGAATCATATCAAGGTCTCATGGATCATGTACACAGGCGAGCTCAAGCTGAAAATGCAAATGTTGGCCGAATTGTCATTCTTCCTTCAAGTTTCCAAGGAGGTCAGCGAAATATGTATCAAAACTACCAAGATGCAATGACTATTGTAACAAAATATGGTAAACCTGACATCTTCCTAACCATGACTGCAAATCCAAACTGGCCTGAGGTGAGAGAAAATCTCCTTCCACACCAAACAGGCAATGACAGGCCAGATGTTATCAGTCGTGTCTTTCACCTGAAACTCAAGGAACTTTTATGTGATCTTCTTCGAAGGAATGTTTTGGGAAACGTGGTTGCATATGTTTATACAATTGAGTTTCAGAAAAGAGGTTTGCCACATGTACACATGGTTCTCTTTCTCTCAGATGCTGATAAACCACATGCAGCAGAAGATGTTGATAGGTTAGTATCTGCAGAGATTCCAGATCCAGAACAATTCCCAGATTTCCATGAAGTGGTTAAGAAACACATGATCCATGGACCTTGTGGTGAACTGGATCCACACTGTGTTTGCATGCAAAATGGGGAATGCAAGAAGAACTTTCCAAAAGCATTAGCACAGGAAACAATGTTTGAGGTTCGTGGGTACCCTGAGTACCGACGACGAGGGCAGTATCGTGCACAGCTACGTCGTCATTTGGTAAATGACTCCTGGGTGGTTCCTTATAATCCTCACCTTCTCATGAAATTTAATTGCCACATGAATGTAGAAGTTTGCAGCACAGTCAAAAGTGTCAAGTACATCTTTAAATACATTCACAAAGGTAATGATTGTGCACATGTTGAAATTAGAGAGAACATTTTGCACCATGATGAGATTCTCCAGTATCTTAATGCAAGATATGTTGGACCACACCAGGCAGTGTTCAGGGTCATGCAGTACAAAATGCATGACAAAAGTCACATCATCATACGGCTTGCAGTGCATCTTCCTCTACAACATAATGTTTATTTCCAAGAAGGAAACGAGGAAAGGGTTCTTAATGTGAACCCAAACACAACATTAACTGCATGGTTTCAACTTAATCAAGATGACGAAGATGCTCAACAGTATCTTTATACTGAAGTTCCAGAGCATTACACTTTTCATCTGAGGACAAAGAAATGGAAAAAAAGACAACGTGCTGCAAGGTCCATTATTGGCAGGCTTTATCAAGTTCAACCTACAGATCCACAAAGGTATGCCCTTCGACTACTATTGCTTCACCGCAGAGGGGTGACATCCTTTGAAGACATAAGAACCATTGATGGACAGCTGTATGACACATTCAAGGATGCAGCAAG